TTCGCGGAAGACAGGATTGTGGACCTTTTCCATGCTGAGGCGGTGGACTACAACATCGAGGACCAAAATGTGGCGGATCTGGAGGGAGAAGCTCTCTTCATCTGTATGGACCGCTTGCGGTTCCACAAGATGCTTGGCAAAACATCCGGAGGTTCCATGGCTCGTGTGCCGAGTGTGCCAGGGCGACTGGAGCAAATGGCCAACACGGAAGTCACTGTCGCAGTGCCAGGAAGCTGTTGGGAAGAATCAGGGCTTTCTCATGGCTTTCTCCCCCGAAGCCAAGGCGTCCGCCTCGGCAGAACAAGTCGACAATTGCTGATGTTGGATTTGACGCCTCGGGACGCACGACGATCCGCGGAGGTTGTTCAGTGGAGGGTGTGAGTGAGCTGGCTCCATGTAGCACTACCAACGCCCTCGGACGCCTCCGAGGACGAACCGCCTTCGGTCGCACACCCGCGCGACGCACGCGCGTTCTTCCTCGCCCACCGTGTCGCTTCTGAGGATGGCGGTGGATCACAACTACACCTTGATCTCCCGCTACAGCCTCCTAGTTTCACCCGCCTACGGGCAGTACCTCGCCGAGTTGGGCTCGAAAACCACGACTCGTCCGACTCGTCACGCGCGGCTTCCAGGTCCTGGCTTTGCGAGCGGCTTCCATCAAGTGAATGTGGGGCTTTGAGGGTCGAAGCATATCCCAGACACTCCATGTATGCCATATATGCTTACATTAACCCCCCAAACCACCCCAATGTAGGCATATATAGGTGGTCTTGGGGGTCAATGTAAGCATATATGGCATACATGGAGTGTCTGGGTATCAAAACACAAGCCATCCATGTCAGGACGAGTTCGGCAAAACTTGCATTGTGGGAAACCAAGCAGCTCACCAGCTTGGCTCTCGCCTTCCTTTTGGGATTTAGCCTTCTCGCGAGAAGCTGAGAAGGGTTGGATGCACATCGACCAAAGAACCCAGATGAGCCATGCGGTCATAATCAAAATTGCTTGTAGTGAGGTTCTGGTCATAAGAGCCGCGTAATGGGTAAGGAAAACACTGCAGATCACCTCTCAGATCACCGCGCTTTTTCACTGCAGCTTGTTTCGCTTTGGCGTGCGCGCCAGGTATCCCCTCTGCAACGGCTACCCGGACACCGTGCCGCAAGGGCCGCGCTGCGTGGGCGGAGATGGTCGCCTAGTGGGGCGTGAGGCGCCCTTCTTCGCTGGAGATGGCGAGAGTAGGTGCTGGAGGGGGGTGAAGAGATGTGAGGGGAGCTGAGTAAGTAAGAGGCTCAATTAGCAGCTTTGATTCTGTGGGTGGATGTCCATCCGAAGCAGTTATATATGTTTTGGGATGAGCTCTCTTTTTTTGGATCTCATTTCTGAAGAAGCAGCGAACATGAGCCATTGTTCTGCATGCTGAAGAAGCTGCATCTCTCATATGGCTGGCTCTGATGACAAGTATGAGTCTGTGCTAACATTTTTTTAAGAATTAGTTCATGTTTGCCAGCGCGTGCGGACATGTCCAGTCCATTTTCTTTCGACCGGTGCTTGAAAAACTGAGCCACCTAGCCACCTCAAGAAGACGCAGCCCACTTCAGGTGCTCCACTTCCAGCCCTGTGGGCTTCTGGCTCGGCGTTCCCTCGGGTGGCCGTTGCAGTGCTGGCCAACGGCCCAGCCGAACGGCAGCGCAGGGCGGCTGCACCTGGTCCCTGGAAGCAAGGAGGAAGACCATCCGTCTGGAAGCTCAGAGATGGATGGAAGCTCGGAGGAGTCGACCCATTCTCCAGAATCATCCAGCATCGGCTCCAACTGTCAAGGCTCCAACTGTCAAGGCTCCTCAAAAATGGTTGACCTGAAATCAGGCGTATATTGAAGGTTGGAGAAGGTCGAGGAGGTGTAGCATTTAGCAGATAACTTCTTTCGAAGAGCCGGTGGCTGGCGGCTGCACGCTTGCGGAGGGCATGGCGGCACGGCCATGCATGGACCAATGCAAAAGGTCGAGAAGATGTTGGGATGATTGAGTCGAAGCCCGTAGCCACCACCTGGTAGGTGGGATGATGCGGGATATGTCGAAGAAGAGTTCTTCACTATTTCCATCCCAACTTTAATTTAGGATTGTCCTCCACAGTTTGGGGTGCATGCCATCCATCGAGATCGATGGATGCCACGTCCACGTGATCATTCGCATGGCATGCATTGTTCTTTTTCGGATGGCGGGCAATCCAGGTCAGACCTGCCTCTTTCATCACAACTTCTTTGAACTTTGCGACGCCGACTTCGCGGATGCTCGGAGCAGTTTCATCGACTTAGCGGGGGAAGATGGTGGGGAAGTGCTGCGAAACGCACCGAACAGGGAGTTGAGACCCCAGGTTTTGAGCGTTGGGGTAGGAAGCACCATGACCAGCAGATCGACCTCAAGGGCACCAAGGGTTTGGTCGTTAGCGCGCGCCAAACTGAAGAACTTGGAGAAGACACGTGTCGACCCACACGTGTCCACCTGCATTGATTGAAAGAGCCGAAAAAAGGCCTTCAAACTGGACCGCACTGGCCCCTGCAAATGTCCTTCCTCTTAGGTGTTCTTTGGCAACTGTTTGGGTCCGAACTCCGCGGAGCAAAACAAGGATCCGAACTCCTCGCGGGTTTGGTCCGCAGCCGGTGACCAGAGAGCTCCACAGCTGGGTGACCTGGCTTCGCCCGTGCCGCTCCAGGAGCGGCGTGGCTTCCGGCGCAGCGCCGCGGCGCTGCGGAGGGCCTTCGCGTCCGACGAGACGGCGCGCGGCGGGTGTGCGGACGTGGGCGGGCCGGAGGTGAAGGAGGTGGAGGCGACCGTGGTGTCCTGGCGCGGGTTCGAGGCATAGATGGTTTCTCGATCGTTTCCTTTTTGAGGTACAATTATCGTTTCTTAAATTCAGACCTTGACTTCACATTCTTGGTAGGGGGCTCTTTTTGAAAAAGTGTGTATGACATCATGTGGTGGTTTTCTCTTCGCTGTGCTCTCCGCTGCGGCCGAAGTCTCCTCCTCTCCTCCCTGAGCTGAGCTGTGTAGAGGAGAGGCTTTTGCATGATTCTCTTCAGGGGAATTGAGGGGAATTCTTTTTCAAGAGCTGCCTGCAGGGGGGAGGATGTGTGCTAAATCAACTAAACAGCACAGCGAAGTCAAATTGAATGTGCATTAACAAACGAACAATCACGGACCAACTAGAATCTAGAAAATCATGAAGACTTTGCAAGTCAGAGTACCGAGCTCTCCTAGATGAACGTGATGAAAGGGACTTGTTGACTTTGAGTGCGCAGTAATTACTGTGCACATCTTACATGTATTTTGTGTTTTGTCGCAAATCTTACAACAACCTGTTTGGGCTCCAGTCGTACATTCGAAGGTGGGACTGGCGTGGGTCTAGATGGTCCAAATACCTTCGGACGTACGAAAGGATGTTTCCGGGCAACTCCTCCCAATTTGCCCCATGTGCGCCTTCTTTTGGTGATCTGGCGAGCTTAGGTTGTTTGAGCCGGCTGCAATCCACTGCTCGAGTGAAGAAAAAGAAGGGATCCCCGCCACCGCTGCGACCAGGTTAACCCCAGATTGCAAGAATCCTGGGAAGGGTTGTCATTTTTGGTCAAGGGGTAGACTATGGGGGCATGTTCTTTCACATGTTAACCGGGCTCACTAGCTAGCACTGAAGTACCTTCGCGCGGCATCACATCAAAGACGGTTGCCTTGTGTGCGTTTCCCTGAGGTGCGACGTGCGCGAGGGATGTCCAACAGAGATCGCTCCAAACCGAGATCACAAGATTCATGACCAAATAGCAGCTGACTTTAGGGCAGGTGCTGATTGAGTCGGATATGGGTGCTGTTCACGGTTGGCTGACCGAGCCTTCCGACTGCGAAGGGGCAAAGGCTTTGTCATCCGCCCTGCTGTGGGCAACAACTAGATGTGCAGGTTTTGATGCACGGTTTCACGACGTTACACCGTTCTTCGCAATATTTGGATTTGGAGGGTCCACAATCTACAGACATCTTCCGTCGGTGTTGACCTGATCTATTCAATGATCAACATGCCCCATACTCCAAAAACCTATGCCAACCTCCTCCTCCTCCTCAAGTGGAGAGCCTCCCAATCCCGAAGGAGACTTCCCCCGTCTGCTGACGACTGCCTGGTGGGTGAAAGCCTTGGGGCCTCCAATGGATCCTAATAATAGCCCTTGCGACCGATATAGTAAAATTGCCGAGCTAGAGGCAACTTTCTCCATAAGAATCTATGAACTTTTTCAATTCGAGGGCTTGGTAACATACCCTGACTTCCAGGCTTCAGGGTTGGGTCTGAACTTTATTTATGTGCCAGGGGGGTGGCACTCAGACAGTTGTTCATGAGGTTGGCCCCTTGGCAACTTAATAAAACTATACTACAGTATAGGCGGCCAAGCACCTCCACCTTCCAAGCAACACAAACCCTCAGTCTCAGGTGGGCCTCAGCCTGTAGTATTCTACCTTCGCAGCAGGTTTCCAGATTGCCAGACCAAAGCCACTAAACCCTAATAAACACTAAGGAGGCCTGGTTTGATGGTGTATTTGCTGTTGGTGAGGTTGGGTCCCTGGTGACTTTAGGTTGTGGTGGGGACCTAGGGAACCTGGTGCCTAGGAAACCTGGTGATAACACAAGCGACTCCTAATAATGTACTGTATATGCCCATGTTGGAGCTTCGTTGGCGGTGAAAGGACAACGTCGCGTAGGCAAGTTGAGTCCCTGCCAGCATCTCAACAAGTGGTGCCTACAGGGGCTTCTCAGATTCTCATGCACCCTGGCACCCTGGCTGATTGGCAAATCCCTTTCACAGTTCGTTTGCTTTGCTCTTGTTTGTTCACATGGCCTGGCTCTCCAAGAAGCACCGACCTCCCCCACACCTACCCCCTTCTTCCCCCAAGAGGCTAGGGGCGACCGGCTCTCAGCCTCACAAGCGCCGGACGCACCACCGTGGCGCCACCGGTCGCGCCGCGCGCCAGGCCAAGGCACAAGTCTCGGAGCTGAACCTCCAAGTGACCAAGCTCCAGCAGGAAGCGAGGGGAAGGGGTTGCAGGATGGTTGCAGGGGAATGGCAGGGGCGTGCCGAAGCTTGTTGGGTGGATCTCTGGTGGAGGAGATCGTCCACAACAAGCATGATCAAGCCAGTGGATCCTAGCGGCCTGTCGTCATTTTTCCAGCCGATGAGAGATGGGCTGCGCATGTGCAGATAGTAGAGGGCCTGTGTTTGCAAGATCGCGTACTGGGTCAGTCAGACTGGGGTGGTTGATTGTTCCAGCATGGCAGGGGGTTCTGTATGTGTACCCAACTATGTTGATATAATCCATCGATGATTATTATCATGGTGAGTTTTACCGATCAGAAGTGGGACGGGACTAGTCGGTGTCCCAAAGCCAGATGCAGTCATCAGGAGCTGGCTGGTCGTCAGCAAGAGCTGCAAGAGGCCTTGGCTGCCCTGGAGGCCGAAAAGCAAAAAGCCTCAGCCTCAGAGTCATGAGGTCCTGATCCTTCGGTTGGGCGAGGGAAATGGCCCAACAGCAGCAAGTTGGCCAAAGTGACTGGTTGTGTTGATTTGCCCATCTGCCCTTCCCCAAAATGAGGTTGCAGCACTCGAAACCGGTCGCAAGCCTTCGAAGAGGACACCTACTTCAGCGGCTTCAGTGGCAAAGACCGTCGCCCCTAATCATCCACAATCACTCGTTGCATGTGGACCCTGTAGCATAGCAAAAGGGGGAGCTTGGATGGTAGCATAGGCTAGGACTCTTGTTACAGGCCGTTCTTCCTGCAGCTCACCCTGCACCTTGGATGATTATGCATGATTCACGGCATGCCATGCACGTCCGATCCCAGGTTGTACCGGTTCCCGAGCTGTTCCAGGCCGGTCTTTCGCTTCCTCAGACCCTTCGTTCGTTCAGGCCGATCCTCTGTGACAGGTCCCCGAACCAAAATGGCCAGGCCTGAAAAATTGGGGGAGTCCAAGGCTCTTTCACCAAAGGATCTGAATAGGTGACCCTGAGTTGCAGGAATCTCCGAACTGCCCGGCCTGCCCGCCGCGTCGAAGAAAGGGACTTTTCTCCCAGTGCTGATCCCTTCCCAGTTGGGGTGGAACTCTTAGCAGCTTGGGGGGGGGTGGACGGCTCTCTTACCTCAGGTGCTGTTGGGATGTGGGCAGACCTGGCGGCGCCGGATACTTACAAGGGTCTATCACCGATTCGCTTGTACTGTAGCATCTTACATCCAACTACTATGATCTACTATGCTTAGGAGATGAGATGAACTAGTAATTAGGGAACTTCGAGATGAAGCACGTGGTGCTCATGAGCATCCCTCAAACCATCACTGGCAAGAACATTATATATATATATACATGTGTGCTGCAATCACATACATTTTTCTACTCGCACGAAGCCTCCACCACCCAGATTGCACCTCAAAGACTCAAAGAACCGCCAATGTAGACTGAGGATCGCCCCGCCCTTTGGATTGACAAAGCCACTTCATCACAAGGCTTTTGTATTATGTTGTAAGTGGTATTCATCCAACATCGACATCCCATGGGTTTTCTCTCCAATGCCATCCACCCCGCTGCCCTCCTCGCCGCAGGCTCCGGCAGCGCCGGTGGAGTCGGAGGAGTCGGAGGCCCTGCGGCGGCAGCTGGTGCGCCCGGGATCACCGGAGGGGCTGGAGCGTGGTTGAGCTGTTGAACGCCTCACAAGACACAACTCAAATAAACACCACCGGGAGTAAATAAGGAACGTTTTGTATTTCCGTTACATGTATAGATGTGTAATATATGTATATAATATTTCCTTATATATTGTTTTTAAAATATAGTAATATAGCTACGTTGGATTACTCACCCCCCCTCCCTCAAGTCTGAAGAGGTTTTCATGAATCCAGTTATTAATCAAGAGTCTACATCAAGGGTGACACGGGCCTTTTCTATCCCAAGCTATGGCGAGTCATGATTTGGTTTACGCAAGGCGACTCTGTCTCTTCCCAGACGCTCCATTGTGTGCCATGGAATCTGTGCCCATGGACCCTGTTCAACCACCCGAGTGGCAAAGAGATGCACAGGGCGTGTGTCTCCATTTCAAGCATTTTGAGGAGATGTGCACGTCACCTGAGAATATCCTTGTTTTCTCCAAGAAGATGGAATGGATGTGAGTCTAGCACGGCCCAACTGATTAGTCTTGTTTGGGGGTGTGACAACTGGCTCTTGGAACAGCTTGCAAGTCAGATCTTCTAAGGTTGACTCATTCCAGTGCTTGACTGCTGAACGTCGATTCCGATGGCCTGAAGTGCTATCGGGTTGCGCACGTGGGGCCACAGAGGGCCTTTTACCCTTGAATTGATTGATAAACAGAGGGGATACGCCTGGTTGTGTAGAACCAAGTGCGGTATATGGTACTAAACCCTGTACCCGGCCAGACTACCATCTACCGCAGCGCAGACATCCTCCTTTGGGTCTTCGCCTTGCAGGTGTCCCGCGCCCAAAAACCACGCAAAACCACGTGCTCTTGGCTCCACAAACCCACCTGGTCGCCTCGAGGATCCATGGCCAATGCGGGCGGAGTTGAGCGATTGGAGTTGAACATGGTTCAGTACCATATACTACATATGATTAGATAGATAGATACATACACACACACACACATATATATATATATATCATACACATACTGATGCATTCTGTATCCCTTCACTTGTAACCTGCCTGGTAGAGGTTCCCAGATCAGGAGGTGGCATGTCAGGCATGACGTGAGATAGCAGATCAGTCCTGTGGAGCTGAGTCGGAGATTAGCTGAGTCGGCAAACTCTTGAAAGCACGACACAAAGTGAAACCAAGAACACCACGGAGAGCTCGGCCATTCAACATGACACAGTATAGAGATTTTTGATGATTTGACTAAGAACTCCAAGCTTAAGAGGACCAGTTGGCATCTATCAGATGTGGCAGATCTAGCAGATGAAGTTTATGATGTTCTTTCTTTCATCCTTGTTGGCATCTATCAGAGATGGAGCCGGTGGAAGAAGCTTCTTTCCTACAGCTTCCATTGGAGCAGGAGAGCCGAGAAGAAGCGCCCAGTCGAGCCGGCTCGGTCAGTGTGTCGCAACATCGCCCTGCGCTGGATGCGTATGAAGAATACCCCTCAGCCCCCGTGCAAGACATTTTGCAGGGTTTTGAATGATTTTTACATGTAGAACATGTATGACCCTAGGGCTCCAAGTACATCCTCAGAAGGTATTTGGACCCTCCTTCTCAGAAGGTACGACTGGAGCCCTAGGGATACGTTACTAATCAACAGTGGTTTCAGGAAGTGGTTTCGTCACGAACACCAAATAAATATAAACCAAACCAGGACCACGGAGATAGGGTGGTGCTGTAAAGCTCGGGAAACAGATGCCAGTAGCGGCGTGTTCGAGGGTTCAAGCTCAACCTGTTAACATTCATCATCTTCCTGGCGCTCCTCCAGCGTGCAGTCGTTGTGTGCAGGCTTAAGGGCCTTCTCCCCATGTTTGGTGCTCTTGTTTAACAATGCCCCCTAGAGCCAAGTTCTTGAGTGGACCCCCATGTGCCGAGCCCACGCGAAGAGCGAGGAGAATTTGCTCACGGATCATGAGACTTCGCCAATCTTGGAGGAACGCTCAGGACCGGGGCGGCTTTTGAAACGACCTCCGTTTTCAGAGCGCGACACGAAGACATGGGGCTGGTATGCCTACGACCCCAGGTCAAGCAAGAGGAGAAGCACATATCCCATGGAGTGTTAGGGATAGAATGGCTGGACCTTGGAAAAACCACAAGGGGAGCGTTGTCGTAATGTGGTGGACCTCGAGAAGCCCGTGATGAGAGCAGTCGAGGTCCTTTCGATTGAGAGCCGTCGTTGGTTGAAAGCAACTCGTTCTTCTTTTGGGGGGGCCCTACCTACATCTGATAAGGAATGTCCATAAGATTGCTTTTTCAGGCTAGAGCCATTCGGATCATTCGGTTGGGTCTCCTAGTGCTTGGCAGTCCACCGACTCACTCTTTGTTTTGCGGGCCCAAACCCCCAAGTAATGAGCATCTCCGCCCTCCTTTGCCTGCGTGCGGTGGCGGTTGCCATGAGCCCAAGGGTCACGCAGGACACCTCCGATGGTTCATTTTTTTGGCTTGTCTCCTTGCCGGTCCTTGTCCTGTGTGGACTTGGCCCTCTGAATTGGTATGGACGTAAGGCATATTCATGACGCTCCTTGCCTGCCCAAGCTAGTTCATGAGTCACCAGGAGTCATGGCGGGTTGCCCAAGTCATCAACGAACCGGGTCGTTTCGGTCGATGGAATCATCGCGCTGTTTCTATCTGGGTGCGATCCGTTCCGACCGATGGAGACACCGCATCCCCTCTTGAGTCGTTGCGAAGCGAACGGATTGAAAGCTCGAGCTTGGGCGTCGTCATATCGCGATGCAAACCGATGCTGAACCTTTCGGATCTGACAGGACCTTGGACCTTGAAGGTGGGTGGACCTTGACACACTGTGGGAGGGGTGGGTGTTTCACCTCAGGGCCATGGCGGCTGAAGACGTCAGCTGAAGACGTGTGAAGAACCACCTGAACCAGGCGATCCCCCAAGCCGTTCGCATCCCCCAAGTGATCCAAGAGACGTCGGCGGATGTTAAACTGCACTCTTTTTTCGGATCATGCCGACGGGCGGGAGGTCTTCTTTGATTTGAAGGTCTTCGTTAAGACGTGGCTCTCATCGCGGAATCATCCGATCTTTTGCATCAAGAAACTGGGACATTCCCCGGACTGGTGCTTGAAGATCTATATACCCATCCTTAACGGGCACCACATGGAACCCCATTCAACCGAGGAATATGGTCTTCCTGGTCTTTCACCACGGGTCAATTCTCAGGTTCCGTGTTAGTTTGCCTGGGGGGGGGTACCGAGGGTGTGCATAGACTGGTTGCTACAGCCTGTAGGCGCCTATCGGTTTTGTGGACATGCTGACATGCCACGTATGGGCTATGATTTGCTCTCGAAGTCTTTGACAAACCCGCATGTTCCATGGCTGGTGTGGAGGATGGAGGGTGACATTCATAGGCTAGAGCGCAGGCCCACCTCCCAGGAAGATCAACACCAGTTTACAGTTTACAGATCTTGCATGATTTGACAGTGATTCCTGAGTAGATGGCGCAACCCTACCGTGTTTGTAATATATATATAATATATACTGAGTACTGTAAATTAGATGGGATTCTGCCAAATCCCCTGAACCTTACCTAGAACATTCTCTCGGGGCATAATGCCCTCGACTCTGACAGCACTGTAGCCCGCTTTTCTTCCCCAAAGGCAGAGCATCGTGAGGCGCTGAAACCTCAACCTCACCACGTACTTTCTTCTTCAGTTTTCCGTTCCACACAGGATTTACACTCAACTCATTCTTCATCAAGTCGTTCCTCTTCAGCTCTTCAAAAACGCATGGCTGCCCTCTTCCTTCATCACTTCCTTCATCTGCCGCATCTCTGGGGCACCGCCTGGATCCGTCCCAGGCGTGGAAGCTGCTCTCCGGGGCCTTGCTGTTGGCGGGCCTCGCGGGCATCGTGGCCGACCGGTGCGGCGACCAAGATCGGAGGGAACGCTCCGGCGGCGCTTCAGGTTGATTGGGATGTTCTGATCTTGTTTGGGCCTATCCAAGAGAGGTTAAGTGACCTGAACTAGGACCTTACTGGGGTACCTATGGGATCGAATAGGCTAGTTCGGGTCCTTCAACCTCTGTTGGTATGTATTTATATTGGGGCCTCAAGGCTTTGAAGATGTTTGAACTCTTTGAGTTCAGGGTCGGAGTTTTAGGACAACACTCACATTGCTTCGTGTATGTAGTTCGGGCGCATTTCAAATATGGAAAACATGGGCAGCTCTCACAACCGCTCACACTTCGAAGGCTCAGTGGCTCACCCCACCTGAAGACTGGCCCAGTGCTGTCAAAGAAGTCACAGACACATTGGGCCCACAGCCCGTCGGCGGAGCATCCCTTTTCTTTTTTTTAATTCTTTTTGCTACTGCTGAATCCATCCAAAATCCTGGATCCGCTATGAATGACACCGTCCCCTTTTTTGGCTTAGCGTCAACTCCACTTCTCTTCACCTCGCCGCCCGGTTTTGGCTCAGCCTTCGCCCAGCAAGGCCCGCACGCGGCTTTTTGCTCCGTCCCTTTAAGGCCCCGAAAACGCCGCGACGCGTCGCGAGAGGCGCGCGCGCGCGCGCGCCGCGCGGCCGCACCGGGGGGCCTCTGTGGGTCGCCACAGGTCTTCCGGTTCGGAGCCTTTTTCGGCGGCACGTGGCGGGTTTGAAGGTCGGGTGGTTCCGCGGAGTCTTCATGTTTGGCGCAGCTGCGCTCCCAAGTCGCTGTTGGATTCGAAGGGTGTGGCCCAGTCCGCGAAGCCGGACAAGCGGGCCACGTGGCGCGGGCGGCACAAACAGTGAACAGTTGACCGGGCGGTGCGTGGCAGGGTGTGGAGACTGTGGAGACCCAGCTGCTTAGATGATTAGGAGGGAGGGCGCAGACATCAAACACCCCAAGCTGCATGCACTTGTGACTCATGCCGCATGCCCTGCAACCTTCACACCCTCGAAAATATCACCTTTTTCTTCAGCCAATCCTCACCAGAGATCGCGCACCCGCACGCTAGCCGCCAGGGCCAGGAGCTGTGGATCCCCACCGGGTGGCACAAGGACTCCGAGGGGCATGATGTCAAGGCGAGAGGGAGAGGGAGAGGGTGGCGGATGGCGGGAAGGATGGAGAAATGATGAAGGAGTGTTGGTACTTTGCAATGCACTAGCAGTGCCACTGGCCAACCTGTTCGCTTTCCTGGCCCGTGGCCACCCACAGTGCACTTTTGTTGACCAGGCACACCTAGCCCTATATGCCGACCTCCAATTCAATTCTGGCAATACGGCCTGCTTGCTTTCTGAGATCAATTAAACCACTCCTAGCTTCATGGTCAAACATGGATTCATTGATTGATTCATTGATTGGTTGGTTGATTGATTGATTGATTGACTCTGACTGACTCTAGCTGGTGATCTGATCACCCACCCAGTTTCACCCAGTTCCACATCATCCGACCGCACCAGGACACCTGGGATCACTACAAGATGCCAGACTGTGATAGTGGCCCTGCGCCAGGCACCAAGAAGAAGGCGGGACGACCTAGACGGACGGTGAAAACCTGGCTTTGGGAGCCTGTTCGGCCCACAGCCAGGGTGGTGGGGAGTGAAGGGAGAACGAGCCCAGGGAAGAGGGCGGATCCTGCTTTCAAAGGATTTTGCAGGGGGAGTGTATTTCCTCCAATGCAGTGCCATTCGGCCTGATGGTGTGAAGCCGCACAACTTGTAGTCCAGGTGATCCTGACTCCAGAGCAGCTGAAGAAGATGCAAGCGAAGAAGGAGAAGGACCGTCCGAAGCATTTGAGGATGATCAGATCATACCAGATCCAGATAGACTAGTGACTAAATGACTAGATGTTTGAGATAGGCACTAATTGGCACCAAATGGCACCAATACTAGTCATACTAGTGTCATACTAGTCATTCTTGGTCATACTGCAATCTCTTGTAACAATCGCAGAGAAAGTCTTGAGCTCTTCTTCTGAAGTGCTGTGTGCAAGTCTGTTGCACACCTCTTGTCAGCTGCGACCAAAGATGCAGCCGATAAATCAGCTGATCTATTCCGTTTTTTTTAAATGAGGCAGAGAACTCCAGCGTTTTTCCTCCTTGTTGCAGCCAACCAGATGCCATTCTTTGTTGCAAGAACCACGAGAGTGTTCAGGTGGATGTGTGTATTGAAATTGGGAGACCTGCCAGCTCGAACTTGGAAGGTTCGGCAACTAGACCAGTCTACCCTGCTGGGTTCGGTCGTCTCCGAGCCCAACCGAAAGCCATGTCGCAGACGACCTTCGACCTTCATCCGAACACATGTGGACAACGAATGCGGCAGCAACTCAGCTGCTGCTGTGAAGTTCCGGTGACGTTCCTGCACAGAGACCCAGAGACCCAGATTATCTACCATTGACCCCCGGCAAATTGAGAGAGAACCAATCCAATGGACCTATACAATTAAGACCACTTGACCCCTCCCATAAAAAAAACCAGACACACCCAGCACCCAGATGCACCTATAGGAACCCTTCCCTCGAAATGGGCCGGCCTTGGCATCAGCTCCTTCTGCCAGGAAGAGCGCGTCTTGGAGGATGAGTTTTGGACCACCGAGCGGCTCTTGCCCTACGGACGCCGCCTGCGAGGTCGGGGTCGGGGAACGGCGGCGAGGTCCTGGAGATGGAGCTGGTAGGCCTGGTACATGCTGGTAGGCCTGGGTTGTGGAAGAGGTTGTTTTTTTAATGTTTTTTTCCTGCTTGCGGAGCGTGTTCATGTTTTTCCAATCTGAATGTTGCTGGAGTGAGTGACTTTCCCGCTGACATCCTTAGGGGTGGATGGATGTATACCATTGTATAGAGACTGAATGCCCTTTCCCTTGTTTGGAGACTTTATTCTTTTTTGGGGTTCGCTGCGGCTTTTGTATAGGCTTTTTGTGTATATGTCGCCCAGCGTGACGCATATGCCGTTGACGCGTGTCACTGGAGCGCGCAACGAGTGGGTGAGTATACCATTGTATACCATGCTCGTGGGCCCCCTTGGTACACCAAATCAACGGATCACCGTGCCGCTGCTGTCCAACTGCCCGTGTTGGTCCTGCATGGCCTGCGAGGCGTTGAGGAGCGCTTCCTGGTGGATGAGCTCGCCGATGACCACCAGGAGCGGCGACGGCTCGCCAGAGGTCGTAGAGGAGGACGTGGACCGGTTCGTTCGTTCGCCGTTTCCTGCGAAAGCCTCAGCGTAGGCAACGCAGCAGTGTAACAGCACTTTCCTAAAAAGCACAGCTCAGTGGGGTTCAACATAGTAAGTACTTACAACTACTTGCATAGCTATCAAGCTCCGCGCGATGACCTTGAACGTATTTCATCCGTATTCGGGGTTTGGGAGTTGTTTCAGTGGTGATTTGAAATTAGACACGCTTGCGTTTGCTGTTTTTTTTTCTCTCTTTGTTTAGGTTTTTTATTCGGTTTGAACAACGCTAATTATTAATAAGTAACATATTGTACTCCATGGAATTCACAACTTGACTGGTGTTCTTGCTCGTTTTACACATGGCTTTAACCCTGTTGTAGATGCATAATTAAGTTATATTAAGTGTTATTTTCTGTGACTTTTTAAATCTCGATCAAAATACCCAATTTGCCAGAGGCGCTGCCCCTGGAACGTTTTTGAACCCTTGCGAGGCCTGCTGCATTGCTGCGGTTTTGTATGTAAACCAATGACGGTTAGGTTTCGTTGGGGTCCAGATTTGGGGAGGGTTGATTGGGCATCATACATATTCATAAATCATAGTGGCGTTTTGAGGATGAACTGGTAGCGTTGACAAAGTTATCATGATTCGGCTGTGGGCATGCTGATAGCTTGCATTTGATGCTAGCTGTGGCTCACAGAAGTCCATTGAGCAGGGCGGCGGAAGACTCATGGTGGCCATGCTTTTCATTGCCTTTAGTATTGGGGTTGCTATGGCGGCCAGTTGGGAGGATGACTGCATTGAACCCGTGCCAGGCATCAATTTTCTGCCCCAGGTGGAAAAACAGAGAACGTTTGCGAGAGGAGCAGGAGGACATTTGACAAATTGCGGGCGGTTGATCTACGAAATATGCGATCTAACTGCCAACAGCTTCTGCAGCAACAACTGCAAAGTGCACACTCACGGGCAGGATTGCTATCGGCCAGTTCCAGAGGTGATGGCCGAACATCCAGGAATGGATGGCTATTGCTATTTCAATCAAACTGGTTTTTGGGTGTCTCCGTTACCTGATAAAGATCAGGATTTTATCGAATATGCCAAGGAGGGCATACTTGGTCTAAGAAAGTTCGGTGGCTACCGCGGGAAAGATAGTGGTCCCCTGATCACTTTCAATTTTGAGGGCCAGGTAATCACAACCTACCTCGACGCAGGGCATTATTCCTATGATGACCTCTACGGATACTCCTTGGGCTATTTGCAAGGGCAGGGCCTAGATACAGAATTGATCAAGAACGCCAGCGGCTGGATAGCCATTTCGAGGCAGAAGTGTTTGGAGATCCAGACCAAGTACAACTTCCAAAATGAAGCCTAGCTCATT